CCATTCTCCCAATTTTGTCTCGTTTTCTCTTCAGTTTGTTTCTCTCTTGCTATTTCTCCTCTTATCAGTTCTCCTCCTGCCTCCATCCCTCTTTCAAAATTCCTCGTTACCTCATGTTGCCCTCATTCCTGCTCCCTCATTCCCCCTGGAGGCTCATTAACAGGTTGCCCCCGCCCCCCTCCCTCCTCTGTGTAACGAGCAGGGAAGGTTTTGACAGTCCTGCTGACCTTTGGCTCCCTCTCTCCTCACACCTCTGGGCCACCACCTGGGTGTAGGGCAGGTGGTGGTGGTGGTGGTGTATGGGCCACCACCTGGGTGTAGGGCAGGTGGTGGTGGTGTTGTCTGGGCCACCACCACCACCTGTCTGTGGGGCAGGTGGTAGTGTTTGGTTACTACCACCACCACCTAGCTGTGGGGCAGATGGTGGTGGTAGTGTCTGGTCACCACCACGCTTCCTAATAGCACGTCGCATTTTGACGTATGCGTTACATAAGTCCAAAAATTGTCGCACTAGAATATGGAAGCGGCTGGCGAAAGTGACGTACTCTAACGTTTTCTGTTTTGGGTCCTCTGGTAGGTTAAAGGAGGACACTTTAAATTGACCGTTTTCTTGACGTTGGGAAACCTTAGGAGGACGGACGGACGGACGGACTGATGTGTACCGTAGAGTGTACGGCACACATCACAAGCCCACGACTCTTCTCTCTTCTACACCATAACGTTTCCATAAATGGAAGGGAAAGATGCTGCAACCATCCATATAAAATTATAGACAAAAGGGAATTGTCTTCAACTAAGCAGCCTCTGTGATAATAACATTAAAACTTCAGTGTAAGTAACATTCAATACACACACAAATCACAATAGCGTGATGCATCAAATGAACATGTGTAAAATGTTCATGTGTAAAATGTTCATTACAAATAAAATGTGTAAAATCCTAGTTTGTGTCTCGGAGAGGCTGCAGGATCCGAGTAAGGTCAGTAAAACTTACGGTTGCAATTCCTTTAACAGTGTCGTAGCTCAGTCGATTAAAGGCATCGTCTGGGACTCTCTCGGACGTAGGTTCGAACCCTCGTCACGGCCCTTGTGGATTTGTTAACATTCAATGTCTGCCCTTCGCTCATGTACATGACAAATTAGATATCAATGCAAGCATAGATCAACTACTGTCATCGAAGGTAACTGGTCAACACCAGTAATGGTTGACATATTTATTGCTACCTGGTTGATGGGGTTCTGGGAGTTGTTCTACTCCCCAAGCCCGGCCCGAGGCCAGACCTGACTTGTGAGAGCTTGGTCCAACAGGCTGTTGGTTGGAGCGGCCCGCAGGCCCACATATTCATAATAGCCCGGTTGGTCTTTCACTTCTTGAAGAAAACTGCCTAGTTTTCTCTTGAAGATGTCCACGGTTGTTCCAGCAATATTTTTTATACTCCTGAGAGAACGTTGAACAACCGTGGACCTCTGATGCTTATACAGTGTTCTCCGATTGTGCCTATGGCACCCCTATAGGCCTAGTGTGTTTGCAGAGTTAAATGAAGTAGCACTGTTTAACCAGTTTGGATTGGGAGTGTTGGTGTCATTGTTCCATGTGGTTTCTAGGTACACCGGGCTATGAGACTTGGTGTAGGTAATGTGCGTAATTGGTGTGGTGTTGAGTGGCGTAGGCAGTTGTGGTGGTGTTGGCGGGGATGGGGGAGGGTGTTAGTAGGTGTGACCTTGGAGTGTGTGGGGGTCGGGATTGTATATTCCGGTGAGTGTATGCGGCCGGGATTGTATGTTCGGGGGTCCAAGTATTCCTTCCGTTTATTGTATTGTTTTCACTTTCCTCTCAGGCTAAAAAAAAAACGACTTAACGTCTTTGCATAGAGGTCACCTCGTGTGACAAGATGGGGGTCGTAGCATGTGAGTCCGTGGAGAGAGGGAGAGAGAGAGGAGGGGAGAGAGATAGTGGGGGAGAGAGATAGTGGGGGAGAGAGATAGTGGGGGAGAGAGATAGAGGGGGGAGAGATAGAGGGGGGGAGAGGTAGAGGGCGGGGGGGGGGAAGAAGTAGAGGGGGCGCGTGACCACAGAGGGTTGTGGGAGCATCATGATGGGGCGGAGGGTGTGTAAGGCAGAGTAGCAGGGTGCGTGGGCAGGTAGTTAGGGAACACACAACAGCGCTACATGAAGGTGGGTGTTGGCTGCTTCTCCCAAACTTGCCTCCCTTCATTTCCCCCCCCCCCCCTCTCCCCACCTCCCCTCACTTCCTTACACCGCCCTTTCCTCCCTTCAAGTTAAAGGAACTGAAAAGTGGAGTACCGCAAGGAAGCTGCCTCTCCCCCCCACTATTCAACATATATAGAGCTGACCTACCCCAACCCCAACATGGAGAATACATCACATACGCTGACGATGTTACCCAAATAATATGCCAACCGGGACCATCAAAGCCGCTACTAGCCGACAAGGTCAAGGCGGCAATTGAACTCATAATCAACTTTGAGAAGCAATGGAAAATTAGCACCAACAAACAAAAGTTTCAGATAATACACATTGTGAAAAAAAACCCGGACCCCATTAGCTTGGACAACCATCCGATCCAATATGCGGAGGTAGGCAGAATACTTGGAATCATGATAAATAGAACAGGGATATAAATTCATGTAAGGGACCGACTAAACAGAGCCAAAGCAGCCTTAGGAAAACTGAGGAGATTCCGAAGCCTCAGTACATTCATTCAGATCCATCTATATAAGGCTCTAGTTCGAAAACATCTAGAATATCCCCCAGTACCACTACACACCATAAAGAAAACTAACATGCAGAAACTGCAAGCAGTGCAAAATAAGGCGCTAAGGAGAGCAGCAAAACACCGTCCACCATATGATCAGACAATCCAGGAGCTCCATGAGATCCTGAACATACAGCCACTAAACATCAGACGCAGCACCAAGCCATCAGGGTGTGGAACACCATCGAAATGTTGGAGGTCCCAATATTAGAAAGATTACTCCAAGATGAGACGCGCCGTTCCCACAGCTCTTGGCCCAAGAGCCGCGATTTACTAGCTGAAAACCCAGCCCCACAATACATAATTCCCAGATGAAATACTGACCAGAAATCCTTCCCCCAATAATTGGAAAAATTGAGTATGTATGTGTGTATGAATGTGTGTGCGTGTATAGTTGCGTATATGCATATGTATATAGGTATATATATATGTGTGTGTATGTATGAATAACTCAATAAATAACAATAATAAAATAAAGAGCCTTAAACAGAACAACATGTGTGGAAGCATCAGTGTGTGTATATATGAATGCTACACAGTATTCATCTACAGACATCCATATATGATGAAGCACATGTGAAGAACCTCTCACACACACACTGCTCCCTGACAAGAGGGAGCAAGCTTAGCTGCCAACACCCACACATCGTGTCAGCAAGGCGGACAGCCCGCCTGCTTTCATACCTCTCACTGTACTTCCCATTTCTAAACTTCCCTTCACCTATGCCTCTCCTTCCTCTTTACTCCCCCACCCCTCTTTACTCCCCCCCCCCCAAAAAAAAAGTGGAGGAGGATAACAAGTGGGTGAGGGGTCTTTGGTGGCGAAAGGGGGTAGATGTGGTCAGTGTGTGTGAGGGGTGGGGGGGGGGGGGGTGTTTGGTGTGAATGGGTAGATATGGCCTAAGAGTGTGAAGGGGGAGAAGGGTGGATGAGGGGAATGGTGGGGGAAAAGGGGTGGGGGGATCTGGTGAGGGGGGTAGTTACGGGACCATGAAACTTGCTCCTACACCTGGTCTTATCTCACTACTATATTAATCTTACTCATTCCCTGACCTTTCACCCCCTCTGACCTCCCTCATGCCAGATGTTGTTATGCTCACCCCGGCTCCATCTTCTAGTAGAACTATTTTTCTGTGCAAGAAAGGCACCAGGAGCGAGGACGACTACGCAAAACATCAATATTATTCAAAATCAAAACCTTTATTTGCAGGCTTTTGATGATTAAGTCAAAATCACAGGTTTTGACTACTTAAGAACATAAAGGAAATTGTAAAAGGCCTATTGGCCCATACTGGGCAGTTCTTACTTATATCCACCCCTTCATTCATATTAATTATGAATTATATATACTGTATATGTCTATATACAGCCCGTCCTCTTGTTTTGGTAGTACATATAGTAACAGTGAGGACCATAGTACTGTACATACACGAGGACAAGCCGCCAGCTTCCTGTCCTCATCAAGGCCACTAGTATTAGTGGCCCCTTGGGTAAATATTCTGACGTACAACGCAATTAAAAAATAGAAATAGGTACTGTTGAATTTTAACAAATGGGAAACTATTTTCTACTTATGTTGCCAAGAAAACTAACCTAACATAACCTTCCTAGGTCTAATACATGCTATCTGAGGCCTAATATAGTACATGTGTGTGCTATACTAGGCCTAGGAATACTTAAGTTAGTTTTTTAACTTAATTTTTGACTGATTCTATAAAGTGAACAGTACAAAGTTCTACAATATAATTGCTTAGTATGTCATTGTTTGTACTATGGTGCACAAAGTTACCAAAAGTACTATCTAAACAGGATGATTGGTTGCTGTATATAACCTACACTTGAAACAATCCATTGATCCCATATAGTTTTATCTGCAAGCATCGTATGGAGTCGTTCTCTAGTACGTACACAAAGTGCTCATCTAACAATTCTTTCGTTTGGTTACACTGTACTGTATTTTAATTTGGCAGCGAGAGGAGGGCTGACATGGTGAAGGATTAATGGGGGTGGTAGGAACTAGCACATTGTCTATCAACGTGTCTATTAATGTGTGTATTAATGTCTATTAAACGTGTCAAACACAGCACATGTATCAGAAGACTGGCATATGTTGTCACAGCTGGAATATGTATAATGAATATTGGATACTCTTAAGATAAAGAATTTTGTTTTTGATGGTAATGTAGGAAACTGTCTGACAAAAATTACTCCTCTCTCTGGCAGGCTGATGCATCGGTGGAGATGGAACAGCGTCACTTTGTGCACGCCTCGCTCGATTACGTCTTCCAGCTGCAAGAGGTCCAGGAGAGAAAGAAATTTGAATTTGTTGAGACGGTAAGTTGCAGTGCTGCCTCCAATGGAGAAGCAAAGTCTGAAAGTTTGATGTTATATGATCAATAGAGCTTTTGAGAGTAAATACATTAGTGTAATTACATTAGTGGTAATTAAGTAATTATACTTAATTAAAGTCCTGCTGGTCACATAATGAGTGTGTCCATAACTATCCTCTCAGCATTCAGTCGACTGGTGTATAGGTTCCTGGACCCTTTGGTTTCTGTCATACCTACATTAGAATCCATGTATATGAAGCTCCACCACTTCACTTCCAAGTTTATTCTATTATTTTCACTTCTTGGACACTAAAGAAATTCTTTCCAACATTCTTGAGACTCATGTGGGTAGTCTGTCCATGTGTGTACCCCTGTCAGTGCCCTTGAGCATTTTGCATGTTCTGAGCACGTCTCCCCATTCTCACTTCCAGGGGTGTGACTTCATTTTATTTTATTTGTGCCCTACCTTCTGTTAGTTCCATTGGTTCCAACGGTCAATGTCCCCACAGCCCAATCTCTAAGGTGGAATATTGTTGCACAATAACAGCCTCATTCAAAGCTCAAGAAATTGCTGACCTGGAGAACGTTCAAAGGTCTTTTACTGTCTGAATCCACTCAATAAAATGACTAAATTATTGGGACCACTAAAAATGTTTAAATCTGTATTTTCTAGAACATAGACCAATTTGCCTAACATCACATATCTGCAAGCTTATGGAGAGAATCCTAAGGGCGAGAATCAGTCACAATCACTTAATGAATAACCTTGTAAAATCTACATATCAACCAGAGCCTATCACCCAAGCATGTCAACCAAAGTACTGTATATCTACTAAGCAAAAGATAACTGCAGTAGACCTCTCATGCTAAAGTTGTGTAACAGACCAAATGAGAAATACAGGACTGAAGTTTTGTTAATCTGTACTCTCGGTTACAGCATACAAGCTCATGCCCTTACACTGTCATCTCACTGAAAGTGAAACCATATATAATTAGACTTTTTCATATTTAGGTAAAAACTACTTTCAGCTCCTATATTTTTATCATCGAAATAAATTGCAGAAATACTGTTTTCTGTAATTTTCTAATGTAAATTTTATATTTGATGGAATTACTGTATTTTTGTATGTTTTTCAGTTGTGTAGTAAATAAGTGAATGTATTTTGATGATTGCAGTTTAATTTTGTTAAATACATGATAGTGATGTCCCTGTTTACAGCTGTTGAGTTACATGTACGGGTGGCTGACCTTCTACCATCAGGGCCACGAGGTGTTCAATGACTGTAACCCCTATATGCGCGACCTGCAAGTTAGAGTACAAAGAGTAAGTTGACATTTTTCTAATACTGTACTTCCCATTGTCAGGATGCAGCTCACTACAGTTGCCTAACTCCCGGGAACCTATTTAATTACTAGGTGAACAGAGGCATCAAGTGAAAGGTGGTGTCCTGCCTGGTAATTTAACCCTGATCACTTTAAGTTCATTATCTCTCAACATGGGACAAATGTTCTGTCCCCTCGAGGTTCTGGGAGACAGTACAGTACTGTACAACACACAAGAGTTCAAAAGCAGGACTGTCCTCACTAATTTTGGGATGTCTTGTTACATTAAACATAAAGTGCAGTACATATATTTCATATTAATATTTTAATTTGAATGGGAAAGAAAGAATGAGCCTAATAGTGTAATGTGTATCATATTTAAAAAAAAAGTATATCGTTCATATTTTTACATTTGTTTAGCTCTTCATTCGACAGAAATGTTCAAATTAGCTGAAGGACTATTAATGATTTCATGATCTAAATATTCAGTAGTTCAGAATACTCGTATTATATATAATTATGTCAAACATTTAAAATTGTTACAATTGCCATTCACTTTGTATGCACTTCCTTCTATGTTAATGCTGTTGATGGTACAGACTCGAGAGAACTTCGAAGCAACGCGCCAGGAGTCCGTGCAGCTGAAGAACAAGATGCTGGAGGTGCGTAAGACGGTAATGTGTCGCCCGCTGCTTCTCACTAACTCACGCCAATCCTCTCCCACCCTCCACTCATGTCAATAACATAATATACCCTACCATAATATGCACACAGAAAAATAACTCCACTTGAATGGACTCCACATGAATATATGAATTCACCATGTGATAGTGAGTTCTATTTATTTCAAACTCTTCACAAAGATGTGAGAATAGAAACTGTTATTCATAATTTATCTTCAAATATTACTGTACATAATTTTGTGGCTTAATTATAATTTGCGTGTTTGATAATTCATCCCGTCCTCTGGATTTGCCACTCAAAAAAATGCTACTTTTGTGCCTAACCGGAAATCAGTGATCCCAAGCAATCTACTGAACCTAAAGCTGTGTTTACACTGTCATTTTAGGAAAATGCATCCCCGTACAGTAGGTACTACTGAGCCGAATGTGAGCTTGTATACTCAAAACATGAGCAGGTAGATATGTTGCCACAAGATACAGTATAGCCTACTCAAAAAATGTGTGTGGAGTGTGGGAGAGGGTAATGTGGGGCTTGTCGCCATGTAGCTTGTATTATATTTTGTTTATTTAATTGGATTTGTGTGGTATATTAACATGTCTTCCTGTATTTATCAAGGGTTTGGTTATATTTTTCTTGTCCTTTGATTGCTAATATTAAATTATTAATGTTTCCATTTGTTAATCACATTTGTAGTTTACCTTTGTTATGTTTTAAAAGTCTTTCATAGATAAGATACTAAGTGGTAGCCTGTTTTTGGTTGCAGATTTCAGTTTGTTTTGTTACAATGCTTCTTAAAGAGTAGAAGGAATGCATATTAAGAATTAGAGTTGTGCTTTAAGATGCTTGTGTTTCAGATAATGAGCATGTGTATCAAACCTAGACCCCCACAGATTCCACCAACAGCTGTGAGAGTACTGAAGCCCTCGAGGCTGCCCTCTCGTGCGGTGTTGCCTGCCCACTTTTGTGATGACACCGCTCACTTTTATCCATCACATAGTACCTCTTCTGTTTTGTATAATGAGTTATATATTGAAGAAAGTTCTCGGTAACTTTATTTATTTATACTGCATGTATGTATATCCAGTATAAGAAATATATACTGTATATATATATAAATACACACACATACACACACACTTTGTTTACTTTCGCAAACAGAATGGTAGACGGTTGGAACAAGTTAGGTGAGAAGGTGGTGGAGGCCAAAACCGTCAGTAATTTCAAAGCATTACAGTACAGTAAATGACAAGAGTGGTGGGAAGACGGGACACCACGAGTGTAGCTCTCATCCTGTAACTACACTTAGGTATTTGCACACACCCCATTAGTAGTTTCAAAGCATTACACGACAAAGAGTGTTGGGAATACAGAACTCCACAAGCGTAGCTCTCATCCTGTAACTACACTTGGGTTACACACACACATACATACTGTACATTAATTATATATACTGTATATATAATCTTATTGTACTGTATATGCTTTTTCTCAGCAGTATAATAATTTTATTACATTGACTGCTTCAGTTGTGAGCATTGTAAGAAAGTTTGGTGAATTTTACAGAATTTCTTAACATTTACTAACGATACTTTTTAAGCAATGTAAATTGTACCTTGGGTTACAATAACATACTTTTACTTACCTTCACATTTTCTCTATGACAACAGAACATTTTCTTTCCAAGACAGCGTACACGTCAGCCTTAGTGCAGTACAGCAGTTTTATAATGTAAGAAAATATTTTGAAGACATTTAAATTTAAAAAAAATGTGGTATTATTGGTTATCACCTCGACTTTCCTGATCCCATAAAAATAAAATCTTGAATTTGTCTCATGCCATTCCAGTGAAATCAAAATTAATAAAATCAACTTAGTTTAACCCACACCGGTATCATTCACTGTATTTTAATCTGACCCAACCCCACTCTGCTCCTCTCCACCTTCTTTATCAAATTCAATTAAACTTTACCCAAAGTCAACCTGCCTGATCCAATTTAATCTTGATCAACCCGTGTCATATTCCAATCCTAACTCATCAATACTGTACTGTGTTTGTCTAATTACCTCAATAATTGGTTGCAAATTTATTTTTTATGAAACATTCCAAGTGTGGAAATTCTAGATGTCCCGTTGTCATGGACTGCAGAGTGCTTTTGAAACGCATACATCTCTCTCTCTCTCTCTCTCTCTCTCTCTTGACAAATTCACCATTATGTATAATTATGACACACATGGTCTAACATACACTAAATCAACAACAACAACAACAAAAATATGGGTGCTAGTTAGGGTCTATGTTAAGCTTATTTGTCTGCATGATTTTCAAGTTTCATTTATTTTCTCTAGCTGCATAGATTTTGATTAATGGTTGCTTAACAATTAGGCTACAATGTTTTGGCTCAATTTTAACATTTTATGCATATATTTGTTATGTGTATTTATGTAGGAATGTATTCATATATATGTATTTTTGCATGTACAGTATGTATATGCATGCATTTTTTAATATACACACACTTGCAAATTGAAATGGATGAATGAGCAAGCCTGCATTTGTGTAGATGTGATTATGGAATGGTTTCCTGTCAGTGTGCAGTACAGCACATTACATATTTTTTGTATATGGTGTCCTTTACAAGATTTACATACCTAAATTCAAATGTAGACAAGATCAGTGCTCTATAGTACAATCCTGTATTTTATAGAGAACTTTAAGCTGTAATAATTTCATCTAAATATGCTCTAATTTGCTAACAGACAAGCTTGTTAAACAATTTACTGTGCGGAGTGCTGGTATGTTTGTGTACAATTTGTGCGTGCACGTGTGTGATTTGTTCTTTTTCTGATGTTTTAAGTCCTTTTGTATATTTAGTGTATGTTTACCTTTGATGTAGAAACGTTGCAGTTCGCTGTTGTCTGCCGTGTATGGTGACTATGTGGTGCTGTATGTGTGGTGAATAGCATGGTGTGTTTTGTCACTTGGCTCTTGTTAGCTTGTCTCTGGAAACACATGCTGCTTAAATTTATTAAATTTTGTATTTTATCATTAAAGGACACCTGGCTAATTAGGCCTCGGGTAAGGTTGTTGGTCCTTAGATACTTGGGCTATGCCTTTTTGTGCGTGCAAGTGAAATTAAAATTACACAAGTACAATAATGTACCTATAATTATTTATTCGATTTTGGTATAACTTGAAAGAGTAGTTGTTTGTTTATAAAAAAAAAATCTAATAGAATTGATTATGTAAAAGCAATTCTTAGAAATATTAGCCAAAATATATCAGTGGGTAAAGTTTAAAGCCTGGACCAAGAGATTGGCCACTTAGGTGTCAGTGGTAAGCTAGGTAGTTTTGTCAGTCTTTATTAAAACATATCGCTGGCATTTTTTAAAACAGTTTCACCATTTATTAAGATGTATAATACTGTACATTATATTTGTATTATACTTGCCTTTGTAATCATGCTGCAATACAGGTATACCTTTACATTATGATTCAGTGTTATGTAACCTGTTGACATCATCATCTGAGGTCCTTGGGACCACCGTCCAGTTTCTCCTTTGATATCTTCTGAATTTTCTTGGTAGTTTCATGCAGTGTTTTAATCTACAGTACAGTATTTTACGTTTTTCCGACAGTAGTTCATGAGTGATGACTACTATATGTGCAGTACTATATAGTTAGTTTTCTGGGGAATCCTCCTGGTGGAGTCTCCTGGTGGCTCTCCAAAGCTAGCTCACTGAGATGGCTTCCCACTACAGAGCCATAACAGCCATAGGAGTTCAGTTTGTCCTCATGTTTAGCAACCAGTTCATGCCCGGTTGCCCCCTTTGGTCCGAATGCAGTATATTCTTTAAAATATTTGTTTTTGTTCATTTGGTGGGTGGTTTCTTTGTTTCTAGCCTCCTTCTTCTCTTCTGGCAAAGAATTTTGGACTCTCTAAAGTGAATAGTACCAAATTCTATGTAATTGTCCATTACGTCAATGTATGTATGATGGTCCACATACAACGTATGTATGATGGTCCAGTAGTTACAAAGAGTACTATCTAATCACGAGGATGGGTTGAAATATTCGGTTCAGCGGGCTTCAGATAACCAAGCTCGTACAGTATATGACTTTGTCTCTGGTGATTTCTAACATGTCATAGGCTGATATTTGGTCTTGAGGGTTTTGGAAGTTAACAGGGTCCTGGCAGCTCATTATCTGGTCAGTGTTCCTAGTCCTTGTTGGACTTGTGTTGCCCTGGATTGCATTTTTGTTCTTCTCCTACCTGCCTGATAAGTCCCATGTTCCTTCTATTCTGTTAGCTCTAGGGAGCCACTGTTCACTACAGAAAACCAGCCTTGATTGTAATGAAATGCCTCTTTCTGGTAGGGTTTTGGTGACTCCTTGACTCCCACTCCCTTACCCGGTGAATCAGTTCATGCTCTTTCAACTTCGGATTGGGGCAAAGATGACATGGAGGCTGGGAACTCCCATTGGTGCTGTCTCCTGTTGGTGGCCCAGTAGTAACTAGGGGGGTTCAGGCTAGTTTCTGAATTAATTATTGCAAATTTTTTATCTATTTCAGTTCTTTGCTTTCTTTGAACCTTGCATTTCTCTGCATTACTTCACTTATTTTCTGGATTGAAGAGTGATTGAAGGAAGAGTGATTGAAACAATCCCATGCTCCCTATGGCAGGTTCTGCCTCAGGTCCCTGGTAGGCCATAGAGACTTGTGTATGGCTGATGTGACTCAGTAGTGGGGATCTTTCTCAGTGAGCTAGCTTCAGGGAGCCACTGGAGCCTTGCCAGAAAGAGGGGGGGTGGGGAGTTCATCACATTCAATGCTGTTTTTTTAAGTTTTTGTTTTTAAAAGCTATATTTAATTAATTTGATTTTACTAGTGAAATTTAAGAGGTTAAAAATCTGACATATATTGTGTTAGTTAATTATTTAGGTAAAAACCACTGGATATATATTTGTCAGGATTATCTTTGTTTGAATATTTTGATTGTTTTCAAGCTAAAAATTCAATTTAATCCATTTTGATACATGTGTTATGCACTTGTATAACAGAACAATTTGTACCCTCAGAAATCTATGGACCCTGGCAACATGGACAAGATGTACACAAGACAGGGCTATCTCTTCCTTATGGAAAAAAGTAGGTTGCTTTAGGCTTTTGTGAATGAATAGGAAATGTCATCTAGTCAAAATATCTTGTGTAATATTGTTTTACTGTAATATGACCAATATAGTGAAGTTCAGAATGTGTTTTGTATTAGTATTAAATAGATAGGGTGATGTTATAATGAAAGTTATCGGACAATTAAATTGAAAAGGGTTTGGAGAATCCATAAGATTGAAATCCAAGGCTTTTCATGAATTAAATTGTTTTGAGTAAACTGTGTGTTTCATTGTAGAGTACATAGCTCTTTTGATGACCATAGCTTATGGTATATTATATACAGTTTAAAAAATGTATGCTAAATTTGTGCTGTCTGTTATCTTTGTGGGTACTGTACTGTACAGTATTCACTAGTGTTCAGCAACCTTTAAGTAGATTAGCATAAATATTGTCTTCATTATTAATGCCCCATTTCCCATTTTCAATTGGGTATGAGGAACATGTATCCTGAGAAAAAAAAATGGGTTGCAGACACTGTTCTCATAATGACAGTGGTCCATTCACTATATCTTCCTACCAAATGTCATAGCAAAGAACCAGCATCATCACACTCCAGTAGATTGTTTCAGAGCAGCACTCCACCCCTGCATAGCACAGGTGTCGGACGTGATGGTGGACGTATGTCTTTCTGATAACGTCCCTCATAGTTAATCAATTTCTGAATCCTCATCTCTCTAATGTTCATCAATGTTTATTATAACTATTAATGTACATATGTGTTTTAAAAGAATTAGTGTATGATTACCCTACACAAAGATTTGGATGTGGATAGATGAAAAATGGTTAATTTAATTTTGGGAAGTAGGGTGATTCACAGATTACATCAGGGGGATGGGCTGCTTTCAGTCCAGGAGAGACGGTCCCTGGTCTAGGTGCCAAGGGGCCAAAGCCAGGAGGTTATGACATGTGATATTTTAGAACCTTTCCTGAATGTTTTAAATTCAAAGTAGCTTATGTGTCTTGACCAATGTCTGGTAATTCTTTCAGGTAATTCTTTACCTCCTTCTCACTTACTACAATGTCATTTACAATGATTCCACACTTGTATCATCACTTGAACCAGTCTTCCTCTCTGGCTCAATCCTGAAAACTGTTTTTAAATATCTTTTTGGGTTCTTCATAAATCTTTCTGTTGTGTTCTGTGGTAATTCTTTAATTTTATTATTTTAATGCAGTAATTTGGTTCTGTACTGGGTATATACCCTGTACTGTTAAAATTCTTTTTATTTGAACAGCCATGGGTGTTCATTGGTATTAGCCACTACTACAAGCTGATATTAATAAAGTTTTTGACTGGGCAGCAGAAAATAACATGATGTTTAACAGTGATAAATTCCAGTTACTCAGATATGGGAAAATAAAGATCTTAAACAAAATAATGGGTACAAGATAGAATCAGATCTACCCAAGGTAAGGATCTGATAGTAATGATGCCTGATGACCTAACATTTAGGGAGCATAACCAAGCATATATAGTGTTAGCTAGAAAAATGATAGGATGGATTATGAGAACCAGGTATCCTACACGAGGGGTATAATTTACACCTCACTCAAGGACTAAGTGATCACCAGGTCTAACTTTGGTGGTATTTACCCATCTTCCCCACTTCTGTTGTTTGTGTTGTGTGCTGGTTCACGAAGTACTTGTTCATAGTGGCCATTAATTTTGCCCTTCACATGTCATCTCCTTCATCACTTGGGCTGGACAGTCTCGCTTCATGCTGGTCGGCGTTCAATCTCCGACCGTCCAAGTGGTTGGGCACCATTTCTTTTCCCCCGTCCCATCCCAAATCCTTAACCCGATCCCTTCCCAGTGTTATATAGTCGTAATGGCTTGATGCTTTCCTCTGATAATTCCCTTCCCTTCCTTCATGGGAATCTTTCCTTAACTGGTTAATTTTCTTTGTGATTTTAATCATTGAATACTAGACATCCTTTATTCACTTGCCATTACTGCTGCACCACTTTGTAACCTTTGCACTCTTTCCTGAGCCTCCCACTGTTAGGGACTGTATATGACCACTGCCACTCCTCTTGTCCTCTTGTCACCTTACATATGCTCACTACATTTGAATCGTGAATAAGGATCGGCTCACTACCATCATAATTTCAGTGGGAACAATGCAGTACGGACATATTATGCTAATTTTTTATATTTTCTTTTAACAAAGGTGTTTGCTAACATAAGTGGATTTTCTTCTTCCAAACAGAGGCATTTGGAACAACTTGGACAAAACACTACTGCTTATACCAGAAAGAGAATAGGGTCTTCACGATGATTCCATACAACCAGATTCAACACAAAATTGTAAGTCAGAGGGCTATTATGCTTAGATAAAAGTGAATCTCAATAATAACATTTTGATGAATTTTGGTGTGCTATGACATCAGATAAGTCACTTGTGAGCCAGGCAACATGTTTTGACGTCAGGACTTTTTTTCACCTTGGTTTGTATCCTTGTTGTATCATATTGATACAACATTTGATACACATTTTATTTGTGCTTTTCACTTGGAAAAATTCCTTATATCATCATCTCACATGACTTGGGATCTTTATGGCACTTGCAATGAGAGAGCTTGCTGTTGTACAAGAATTACATTTCTATGCTCTGTTTATATATATCACAAAAATGGTTTAGTATGATTTTTACTGTGTTCTTATAAGTAATGTAAACAAAGTGCCAAAATAAGTACAGTCATGGATGTCAACTAACATGCACACAATTATATAGAAAGACCTATTCTATTTTATTTGGAAACAACTCCTCTAATCACATAGACTTGCAAATAAACAATATACATATTGAGTTAAAAAATAAACCAACATTTATAGGACTGTATATTGACAATAGACTGAACTTCAGCACATAGTCAAGAAAAGTATCCAAAACAGTTGGCATACTTTCAGAAGTCTGATAGTATGTCCCACAGGCCGCTCTTCACCCACTGTATTACTAGCCAGTTAAAACGTATCTAACTTAACATATCTGTGCATGGGGCTCAACTACCACAAACTACCTTAAACCCATCATCACCAACAAAAACTACTGTACAGTTTTACAAATTCTATCTTCAGACATCATGTGCACACCATAGCACCTCTTGTGCTATATTTAGACTTGTAAAGCCTTATTTCTCAAAACTAACTTTGACTTGACACACTTCTTTGATGAATGTATTTGAACCCACAAACACTACTCCACACATAAGCATACTGTATCATTGATCTTCTCGGAGTCTGACAAAAACTATTTAAACACATTGTGCATATGAAGGAACCCAAAATATGGACCTTCCTTATAAAGTAAAAACTAATTGCAAAATCTAAACTGTGTTTTATTCCAAAGTAAGACAAAGAGGTACTATATCTAATTACCTCACTAAAATGCCCCACTTCATGGTACTAACTCTAGTACTGTATGTCGTAATGTACTTTACTACAGTATTTAGAAATGCTGTACTGTTAACTATAAATATAATTTCTCATTAGCACCCTTTTGCCCTATTACTGAATATACAGTCATTATGTAAACTCTTAAGTTACTACAATACATCAGTTGTACAGTCTAACTCTGTCACTATTTGTATTTCCTAGTGTAAGAATTACTGTTTACTTGTAACTTAAAGTTCACTGCAAATTCTCTATTATATTTTAAGATTTGCAAAATACTATTCTTATTGGCTTTGTGAGAATGTACCAAATAATCACCAAAATTTGTAATAATACAACCTATTGTACCTATTTGTATTAAAAAAAGTAATTATTCTCACACTGCAAATTAGCTAGTAAGATTAATGTAGCAATCATTATCATCATCTCATTTCCCTTATGAGAAATGAAATACAGTTCTAGGTGAAATACAATATTGTTTGAAGAAAGAAAGAAAAAAATCCATTAAGCTTATAATAAGTGTGGGATCGCTGGATTGTTTCGAGCATAGGATAGACATGTATATAAATGAGTTTGGGTGGACATAAATAGGAGCTGCTTTGTATGGGCCACTAGGCCTTCTACAGTTACAATTATTCTTATGTTCTTATTATGTATAACTAGCTAGTGTCACCAACTAGCAGTACATCTACAGCAGCAGCAACCCGCTGCTGCATACAAATGGATGTAAAATGCTTCTTGTGAGCTATCATATGTCAAATATTTTTTTATTCCAAATTATTTTACTCCAAACTTTATTCCATTTAGCTATATTTCCAATTACTTCTCTTGGTATTACTTCTATTGGTATGTATTATATAAGGAATAACCTTTTGGTAGATGTGTTATATAAGGTAGAACCTTTTTACTGATGTATTATATAAGGAGGGACTGTATTCACCAAATTTGTTAACCAAAATGGTTAGATTATATGAGGACTAGTACAATGGTCAAGTGTCAACTACTTGGACTGATTGTTAGAACACCGTCCTCGCAATTTCGACATTTGGTCTCCCAATTGTCCAAGTGGTTGGGCACCATTCTTCCACTCCTTCATCATATCCCACCTCCTTGTTCTTGTATTCCTTCCAAAAGCTATATAGTCATACTAGCTAAGCACTTTCTCCTTACAGTGATATAATAGATTACATTAGTTTTTAATATATTTTGTATTTAAGTTAATCTTAATTATTCCTTTTTCTTTCATCCTTAAACAGTGCAAATTTGTAAGTTTTGAGTTGAATTGATTATCTTTTAAATGACATAATGCAATTTCAATGTGCATAATTACTTTATGGTCTCTGACAAGTTGCAGACATAATGTGAAAGCTAGTATGATACTTTAGTATTGTACAAACTTTTAACAGATCTGTCATCACTTTCCTTTCAGACTTCAACAGAAACGATAGTTCTTAGGTCATGTGTACGTCGAATGTCAGACAGCATAGACAAAAGGTTTTGTTTCGATCTGACTGCTCAAGATAAACCAGGCGTTCAGTACACATTGCAAGCATTGTCCGAAGATGACCGCAAACACTGGATGGATGCCATGGATGGGAAGGAACCAGTAAGTATATTTTGACATATTCAGCATGTTGTTATCTTGAGTATTAGAGACTGAAATACAAATTGTGTAGCTTTAGGGAATTTGAATCAAATAAGTTTACAGTAAGTTGGAGAATGTCATTAGATATATATTGCAGAAGGACCAATAACATTTGTTGTAAAACTATGGCATTTAAACTAATGATGTAAATTACTGTTATTGGTATGTTAATGTTTTGTGTGTTTTAGGATTACATATAGATGTCTACAAATTCATAAAATTTCCTTATTTGTATGATTTTTTCTCCAATTTATAATCCACGTTGCATTACAAAGCAACTTCACTCATAATAATTTATGCATGCCAGTGTTGCATGAATTATTGGAGTTGGTTCAATCATTGCTGCATATACTGTTCATATACAAATGTTAATAATGCAGTAATAATAATAATTTGTCTCAGGGGACAGGCAAGCAGTGTGTATGCATGTAATGTATGTATGTATGTATATGTATGTAATGTATATATATGTATGTAATGTATATATGTATGTATATACTGTATGTAAGGTATGTATGTAATGTATGTTATATTGAAGTAACATGAAGGTGGGTAGGCTTATATTGAGGAACTAATAGAACAAGAACTCGGCAGTGTGATGTCATAGTAGCCAAAATATGTCTGGGATATAGACCTATCTGGCAGCTTTCTCAAAACTCAAGTGTCTAATACTCCATGTATCAACTTTGTGAAAGAGAAAACATGCATTCCCTTGAACATATTGTAGAATGTCTCATACTAACTGACTTTCATTCCCCTGGATTGAGATATGTTGAACTATGTCAATTCTATCTGAATACTGGAACACTTGATGATATACTAGACTTGTAACCAAGATGGACTATGTAATGCATCAGTTATGTAATATATATGATGTAATTTATGCAATTAGCTTGAGCTTGTATTTTATTCATCCTCTGTGACTTAACACACTAGTTTCTATAGCATTAATCTTACCTTGTCAAAGTAGGAGAGACATAAATATATATATATATATATATATATATATATATATATATATATATATATATATATATATATATATATATATATATATATATATATATATATATATATATATATATATATATGTATGTGTGTATATTTATATATACAGGTATGTATGTGTATATGTGTAAGATTATCAGACTTGCAATTCGTCTTTGTAAATGCATATTAATCATATTACGTATGTATAAAAGAACATACCTCGACCACTCTTTATGTAGGACAGACATAAATATACATGTATTTAAGTATGTAGGTTAGATCAGCATTTCAAGAGCACTACAATCACCTTCTGTGCTTGATTGTTCAATAAATCTACTGTTCAATAAACAATGTTCAATAATACATACAATCAGTATGCTGATTGTTCTCTATACTGAACTATATGTATACCAGATTTCTAATCCTGTCCATGGAAAACGGAAGAAAATTTATATATGCTGGTTAGTAGTAGTTAGCATTGTAAATGTATGGCCACATATGTGGTACAAAATACTGTAATAACAACCAACCATGTTTAGTCACAATGTTTAATTTGCATGTCTTTGATAATCATTTTTGGCAGGCATTGTAAATCATTAAAAAAAAAATCATGTAGGTGGTATTTGTAATATAATGCTTGAATGGTACATACATTTCTTCCCAATTTCATTATAATATAACATTTCACAATTGGAATATATAAATGACAAGTGTGACAAATGCATCTGGTATTATGACAGATGTACGCTCACCCAAGTGGAGCTCCGGGATCTCAGGAGGAGACATTGTTAGATGAAGTTGGAATAAGTTTTACCTCAAGAGCCATTGCCATGTTGGAGAGTAGAGGTAAGAGCATAATATTGAGTTTGAAACCATTATTTTGGATCTTTAATAATGACTGTAGTATTTAATATTGATTATGGTTATTCATCATATAGTGTTCACTAAATATAATACTTTACAGTGCTTAACTAATGCAATATAATGATTATTATAGGCCCTCTGAGAAATATTCATTCATTACCATAATGCTATGTCCTACTTGCACGGGGTGTGAGAGACGTTAGCTCATTGAAAAATGGAGGAATATAGAATAACAAAATTTGAGATATTAACACTTTCGCGCTCTCGGCGCTCAAAAAAAAACAATACCCCAGATGCTTTCGGCACTTCGCGCGACTACGCGGTAAGACTGAAAAAGTGTACACTCTTTTGACTGTCCTGACAATAATTGAAGGCGCACGTATTTAAATTTGGTATCACTGTGTTCGCAATGAAATTGTCTATAAGAGCATACCTATAAAATGCCGCCCAAGCATAAGGAGTATCAACACCAAATAAAAAACTATGCAGATCACTTGCCGAGAGCGCCAAACAGCAACAAAATGTTTCCACTCTCTTAATGGTTGCGAAGCCTACAGTTGTCCTACATCGCTAATTTTGGTATCATTGGAATCGCAATAAAATTCTCTACACGGACATATGCATATGAATGTTTAATATAGGTAATTGCCCACCCGCAAGAGTGTGTGAAGTTGAGAGTAGTTAGCCGCGAGCGCACTGGCGAAAACACAGGGGGGAAATCATGCTTGGAAAGTTTATACGTTTCCTGACCCTACTTTTCTATGTACGTATTTCTTTTTTATACCAATGTGTTCGCAATAAAATTTTCTATAAGATGAACTGTATAACATTTGTACAAAGCATGTGTAAGAGAAGCGCCAAATATAGAACCACGTCGCTCAGTATGCGTTCCCGGCAGAAACAAACGCATTGTTTTCGTTCGTTTGATGTTTGTCATGTTTATACTTGTTGACATTTTATAATTTGTATGACAGTGATCGCAGTAAAATTCCCTACACAGACATATACATAACACATACAAATATTTCCCACGTGTTGGATATATCAACGGCTAAAGGGAACCCACTGCCACACGCTCGCCACACCCCCAAACATACTTTGTGTATTTTTTTTTTTACTCATAGAAGTTTATGTGATATAATATTCATTCTGGTATCAAAAAATTCCCAAATAAATTCTCTACAAAACAAAAGTATCCCCATCCATTTCGGTTAAAAAATGGAATTTATAGAAATATTTTTTCGATTGACGAGAAAAGTAGGCAGTTATGCGGAATCGTAAGAAAAACCAGTGACGAGTTATCTCTAATCGAAAGCGCGAAAGTGTTAACTAAAAAGAAACAAATATTATTTTGTCTTTAGTAGGGATAAATTTAGGAAAGTAGGGATAAATTTATGAAAGATAAGTGCATGGCCAAATTCCTCGACTCCTATAACACGAGGGATGTTGGTGAATGCAACGCCCAGTGTCGAGTGATTCAGGCACCTCAAACATATCTAGAGTGACTGATGTAGTAATACTGCATATAAATTATATATTATTCCTATTCTACTTCTATTCTCTGTTGATTTCAGTATTGAATATTAAAAATGTTATTTTCTCTGATAATAAGTTAAAAATAATTTAATAGCCATAGGATACCCTAGTTTAATATATTAATACTGTATATAGCACCTTTATTCCTCCCTTATGCACTATTATGGGCATTACAGTTTTTAACAGACAGATTTGAACCTTGGTTTACATCAGCATTACTACAAGATGTGTATAAATTTTTTTGTTTTTTTTTATACAGGACCAAGAGTAAAGTTTACCGAAAATTATTGATTAGTATATTAGCTTCTTCAGCAATACACTGGGCTGTGTTAATGAGCATAGACTATACCTTTCTTTCCTTAGTTGTTTCTTGCCCGTTTGTAAAATTGGACTTCATCCCTTCATTATGCAACGTCTATTATAGTATCTTCACAGCGTGTCTTCGTGCATGTCTCCATTATTTTTATTTTACAAGGAATTATAATACTGTAGTAATTATGTTAATCAAAAGGATGAATTTATTTCAGGATTGGAAGATCAAGGTTTATACAGGTTAGTTGGTGTGTCTAGCAAAGTAACAAAGCTGCTACAACTGGGTTTAGACCGTCGGAAAGCAGAACGATTAATATTAGATGACCCTGCCGAGTGGGAGGTGAAGACCATTACTTCTGCCATCAAGCAGTATTTCCGTAACCTTCCTGAGCCTCTTATGACGTACAAGCTTCACAGTGCCTTCATCGCTGCTGCCAGTAAGATTCACATATCATAAAATCCGTTTGTTAAAATACTTTTTAATACGGTAGCAATATAATTAGACTATAATGAAATCACAGGAATGTGATGTATCTATGAGAATAGTGAGGCCATACAATGGGAGCAAACCTGTGTCCCAGGACTTCCAAGGCACACACACTGTACCTGTAGAGTCTGGGAACGCAGGTTCAATCTTATCGTACGGCTTCAATATTCTCAGTAATTATGCTAAAGATCTCTAATGTTGTTTTTATTTTTTTAGAGCAAGACCAGCTGTTCCGGCGTGTTAACGACATCCACGGACTGGTACATAAACTGCCAAAGACAAACTTCACTGTTCTCAAACTTTTAATTCAGCATTTAGTGAAGTGAGTATAGTAGCAAACTATATTATTTATACTAATTTATATTATGTTTGTATAATTTATATATACAAACTAAACTATTTATATTATGCGGCAATGATACAAAATGCTTTGAGATTATTACTATATTTTAGACTATGTAGTAGTGGAAAATGTGTGGTGTACTGGAGGGTGTTTAAAGCTGGTGTGTAGGCTGTGGTAAGGTCTGCTGGCAGTATGATATGCTCGCAGTGTGGTATGCTGTATGGTATACTGGCAGTATAGTATGCCAACAGTGTGCTGGCAGTGTGGTATGTTGACAGTGTTGTATTTTAGTTACAAAGCAGTCAGTCTCACAGTCCAGGCAACTACCAGGTGGTTGCCTTGTCTCATGAGTAGAAGAGTTCTCTAAATTGTTCACAGGTGTGTTGGTAGTGTGTTATACTTGTAACAGTATGTGCTGTTATGGTAGCATGCTGGTAGTGAAGTATCTTTACTGGGATATGCTGGTTGTAGCATATGTTGGTAATGTAATATGCTGGCAATATGGTATACTAGTTGTCAGGGTAGGCTAGTGGCAGGGTTGGCTGGTGGCAGGGGGTGACTGATGGCAGGGGGTGGCTGGTGGCAGAATTTACCAGTGGATTAGTAAGCTGGTAGAAGGGTTGGCTTGGGGTATGATACCCAGGGCTGGTAGGCCAGTGGTGTGATAAGCCAGGGTTGATAGGCTGGTAGGCTGTGGTCTGGTGTAATTTTACAATTACAGTATTAAAGCAAGGTCAATAAAATAAGCTATGACAATACAGTATTAGTGTATTTTGTTAGAATTGATGTGTTTGATAGAAGATTTGCATTTACAGTATTTGCACTTTTGAAATGAGCAGCAAGATATATGGATTTTCAGTTACCATTTTTAGAATTTTCACCTGTAATTTTGCAGATGATGAGTCACAATAATGTGGCCAAAGAAATGAAGACCAAACCACAACTCGGAAGATGGAGAAGCGACGATGTTTCAATCCGTCCTGGACCATTATCAATTATCACACGACTTGATAATGGTCCAGGACGGATCGAAACATCATCGCTCTCTATCTTCCAAGTTGTGATTTGATCATCACCTGTAATTTTGTATGCTGTAAATATGTGTATTCCCTTCTAGTGTGGCAAACAAAAGTGAGAAGAACCTGATGACTGTGAGCAACCTGGGCGTGTGTTTTGGCCCCACTCTGCTCAGACCGGAGGAGGAGACTGTTGCTGCCATCATGGATATTAAGTTTTGCAACATTGTTGTCGAAATCCTCATTGAACATTTTGAAAAGGTGCGTACATGTTATTCAGATTATATCGCTCATTTTCGCACGCAGTGGTATGACAGAGCAGTGAGATGAATGATTGTAATATAGTAATGTGTAATATGCAGCCGCCTCTTCCTTTCCACAAGTTACGCAGATGTGTGCATTCAGCATACACACTACACATGCTCAGAATTTATGGCCGAGTAACACTTTGTTGCGGCAATGAACATTGGTAATGGAACAAGGGGCTGGAGTTACTGACATTATGTTTACATTAGAAACTGGCTTAATATCCAATAATGAAGTAATACACTGAATTATTAAAATGTATAGCTTTTAATTGGCATATACAAAAGTACATTTGGTGAAATACGTTGATTCACAGGATAGTGTGGTTATTATCATACGTTGATTTAAACTATTATTGTCTGGGATTTATACCAGTGATGCTAATATGGATAAAATAGCTCTGTATGGATGTAGTAAATTTTACTTTGTCCCATGAAAAAAATCCTGCTATCATTTTATGATTGCTTTCTATGCAAATGCGGTTGTCATTGCAAATGTTATGGCGCCAATGTGATAATCGTCATTGTATAAAATTCCATTATTCAATAATACATGATATATATACAGATTACGTTCATTTGATCTTTACAACTCAGTAAGTAGAACAGCTCCCAGAAACCACTCCAGGTATACTCCTGGTGTATTCCTAGTATACCCCTGGTATATTCTAGGTATACTCCAGGTATACCTTTCCAAAATTCATTTCACTATGTTACTGGACCTGACATGTATCCCTAAAGTACATGTTTCACTAAAGCTCTTTTCAGCATCAACAGAGGCAGATGGAAAGTAAATATATATATTAGCAGATTTTAAAATCATATACAGTACTGTGTACTGTACCAACCCACACCCACTTGCTTGCACACATGCACACTATTTTAAATGAAGGTATTCTTGTAATTTAAAAAAAATTTTATGCCTGGGAATGTAACCCTATTTTCTCCATATGTTTAGGCTTTCTCCATTTTTATATAGCACTGCTTTCCAGAAACATAACTACAATGTTACAAAAATGATGGAACACAATAAGCAAAACTTTTTTCCATAACAATTGGGAAAGCTTTTATTTACTATCTTATCTGTCAGAAAACAAACCTTATAGGAAAATATCATGCTATATTGTCTATTGTCTTTGCCAACAGATATTCAATACTCAGCCAGAGCCACTTGTAGACGTGCCCCGGCTTGGAGACTCGTCAGCAATCCAAAGCAGACAGACTCCTCCCAAATCATCTCCGCCACCACCTTCTCATAACCATACATCCAGTGCTTCCCAGTCTTCTTCACATAATCATAATTCTGCCTCATCTGCTCCTTTGTCTCATTCTAAACATCCACCTGTCTTACAAGTGAGTCAATTGTACATTTTACTCTCAGTAGCTTGCTGTCTTGGTTGAGAGCATTGTTAATGTATGACGTTCCAATAATTCAGTGCTGTTCAATACATTGTGAGATAATAAAAAAAGTTTTCTTTTCAACTATTCCTGAAGAGAAGTTATGTACAGTAAATGAACAATATTATTATCTTTTAAGTTTGTTTTGTGTAATTATTTTTTGTAGATAATTGTGCAAACTGAACACTTTCTTTTAGAAGGTTGTGACTTCCTTCACTACAAGTGAACCTCAGACAGTGCACTTTGGGGCACCATCCAGTCTTCCCTCACACTTGCAACGTTCAGATGCGCTCTCCAACCTTAAAGTCCAATCATCATCGTCGTCATCATCATCAGGTACATATGCAAATATGCCGCCACCACCTTCTGCCACGCACCACTGGAATAACACGTCATCTATATCTAGTCTTAACTCGGGTGAGGTTTTTTTAACATGTGCACTAAATTTTCTGGTGAATAATGAGTTCCATAGTCAAGCTCCAAATGATTATTTGGCAGAATAAGTAATACTTAGATTCTTTTATATAAGCTATACTTTGAGAATATAAGTACTGATTTTTTAAATTTTTTGCAGGCCTAAACTCGGGGCTAAATTCCCACAGCTCACTTGTTTCATTAAGTTCATCAGTGGCGGGATCTATTGCCATGAGTGGAGCTTTTGAAAATATTCAGAACAACCGGCCTGCACGCCCTCCTGCTCCTACTAATGGTCAGTCCAGAGCAGGGGCAGCATTGTCCTTTGTCAATCCTCTGTCTGGTACGTCCACTTTCGTTTTACTCGTAGGTTACTGTTGGGTCACTCAATTTCCTCTGTGTATAATGTACAAGACTATGTACTATGTTAAAGTGCAGACTTTCACAACTACTCGATCATTATGGCAGAATCACAGAGGCATTGGAAATAAACCAAAATGCAGATGTCACATTCATAGATTTGCTGAAGCATGTGAAAATGCGACCATGGAGTAATACAGTCACTAATAAAATGGAGCAAAGGGAATAATAGATAAAGTAAGTAGGTGGACTTTAAATTTTCTAGAAAATAGGTTGCTAAGAGTGACAGTAAATCAATCAAAATCCAGTTTGAGTACACTATGAAATTCGATTAAACAAGTTATAATCCTTGCACCATTAATCTTTCATCCTTAATGGAAACAGACACATGTATTCAAGCCACATTTCTGTACCAGCTGCAATCAGATACCAATAATAACTTTCATTGATCAACAGAAAACACTATGATACTCATCAGTAGTAAATGCCAATTACTTTGGAACGGAAAGAAACAAAAAGTTTAAAAGGAACGCAGGATACAAAGACTCGGTTTGATCTCACAGAAAATAGCAACGAAGTTGAAAATATTGGCATATTTATTTCAGAAGGCATTTATACAATGTATACAAATATTAAGAGAGCCAAATAAAGCAAATATAGCAACAGTCAGGAAGCTGATAGGGTGTATAATAAGTACATTCAAAATGAGGAATGTCATATCATTAAAGGTACTGTACACCTCGAAACATTAGTGCTATCTCAAATTTAATATTGCTCGAGCCTCGCATCCCTTTTCTTGGAAAGTGTCCACCATATGTTAACAGACATCCCATAGAATTGAAATTAGCCAGTCAGAGGACAGAGCCCAGAGTATTCGTATCTCTCGCACCAGGCACCAGATGTGCTTTGGGCAGACCTGAGGCAGCCATTCTCCAGACAGGTAGGATGTAGCTAGCAGTGAGGTTTCTGAACAAGTCTCTCTACCACCCACTACAATTATGCACTGTACTTTAATAGATCAACTAAAGTAGTATCCATTCATCTGTCAACCCATCCACCTTTATCAATTGTGGACATCTTTAAGAGAAAACTAGATAATTGTCTCCAAGGAGTGCCAGACCAACCGGGCTGTGGAGGATATATGGGCCTGCAGGCCACTCCAAGCAACAGCGTAGTGGACCAAACTCTCACAAGTCAAGCCTGGCCACAGGCCGGGCTTTGGGAGTAGAAGAACTCCCAGAACCCCATCAAGCAGGTATCAACTGAGAAACCAGAGTTATAATACAGGTGAGATAACAGAGCTGGAAAATATACATATGCAGTACTTCGCTGCCTGCATAGAATCAAGTGCACAACTTTAATTACTAGGACCACCTAAATATAGACAAATTTTACTCCTAGGAATGAAGATGAGAGAGAACAAAAATTAAGTTTTCAAGAGAGAACTTGAGATATTTCTGTTGGAATTGCTAGACTAGTCTGGTTGTGATGGCCATGTCCTTGTGAGCTACAAGGACAAATAGACTCATATACTAGGCAATCAACAGAAAAAGCTACTAGCCCTGGACTAGTCCAGAACTATTGAAATCATCCACAAGTAATCCACAGAATAATACATGTAATATGTGGATCAGTTACACATTTATTAATTTATGCCTATTTGTTTTGTCTTGGTCTCGGTAATTGTTGTCACAACAATGCCTTGGTCTCATTTTACATTAGTGCCTGTATGTAATATAAAGTTGACGGTGAGACTATAGAATAAACTTGACAATTTTTTCATACACAGTACTATACATTTTGTCCGGTCAAAAGCATCTGATGAGCTACCAGTAAACGTCATAAAATTAACTTGAATTGTAGGTTTGTAAACTTATTTTGGAGGATATTCTTTATTTCATATTGATAAATTACCCCCCTAGGTTTCCACAAAAATCAGTGTGATCATGGCAGAATTGCCTATTAACGTTTAAGGCTTTGTTTATACATGTTTATTAGATAATTATCAAGTTTCTTGTTTAACGAGTCGGCAAGATGAAAGTAATGACCAAATAACCAATATTTATTAAATATCACCTCCTTGCCCTTGAGAATCATTAGAATCTCTCTCCTCAACAGCAGGCCTCGTATATAGGCCGGACAGCCATTTTGGAGGCAATTATTTCCTCCCAAATTTCCGACTTATAGGCGAGTATATACGGTAGTAAATAATTACGAGTGTTGATGTAACTGTCATTTGTGTGCATGATAGTTTGATTATAAATTTAATACAATAATAATGGTTCTCTTTGGAAATTTTATAAGTGATGTAACTTCAATATATTAAAGGTTATCAGTTTCTATGCAAGCAATCTTCGTGTTAAATACATATCATCCTCTTGTTTGTTTCTTTGTAGATTGTTGTGTGTTAGATTATTCCTTAAATGTTAAGGCATTCTGCTTTTATCTTTTTTTATAATGCTTCTATTTAATTGTTCTGCCTGCATTGAGTCGTCCAACTTTGTGTGAGTTGGTTTTATTATGACTGTTTCCAAGGGTTTGATGTGTCATAGGAATTCAAATTTTTGTATTTAACCATTCTTGTCTGTATACAACTATTAGTACCTGTGTGCAGCCATTAATGCCTGTATATGGTCATTAGTATCTGTATGCAGCCATTAGTGTCTGTATGCAGGCATTAGTGCCTGTATGCAGGCATTAGTTCCTGTATGCAGGCATTAGTGCCTGTATGCAGGCATTAGTGCCTGTATGCAGGCATTAGTGCCTGTATGCAGGCATTAGTGCCTGTATGCAGGCATTAGTGCCTGTATGCAGGCATTAGTGCCTGTATGCAGGCATTAGTGCCTGTATGCAGGCATTAGTGTCTTTATACAAGCATTAGTGTTGATTTCTTCGTGACAACTGCTTTCATACTTGTGACAGATTTTTACATTTTGTTTTACAAATTGTGTGTGTGTATCCTGCATTCCATCCAAAATTATAATCATTTTAAATCTTTAGTGAATTGGAGTTATGGAATGTTGTATGTTTATGAGAATTTACAGCATCTCGGTAATATAACTTTATTGTGAGTGTAGCTTAAAATGGAATCATTTCAAGAGAAACAGAAAATGATCCTTGCGATGTGTTTAGTACTTCGGCAGTGATTGTGTCTATATAGGTAACTAGTGGAAGCTACTCAATAAAATATTTAAGTCAGCTGGGCATTTAATATGTCAGTGTCTAATGAAATGCTAGAAATTTAAGAATTACAAACAAAAACAACAAAAAAATCATTGTTTTAGGATGACTGTCGGTTAAAATTAATCAGAACTAGTTAACTTTTAAGTTTAAAATTAAATTATACAATTTGTATAGACTTTTCATCGAAATATGCATTACACTAAAACAATTATTTTATTAATTGCAGATCGAAGTGATGGAGTACAGAGCACAAGTAGTTCTAGTGAATCATTATCTTCCCGGTCGTCACGGGAGTTAACACAGCCGCCTTCCAACTCCCTCTCGTCCTCCCCGCAGACAAGTAAGAGGCTTCCTCACATTGGGGCACCCCCCCTGCCGGGTGCTAATGGCCCTCATCGAGACAACCGTTTGCAGCAGACAAATCATTATGCGTATAACAGCAGTACGTCACGCCGCTTTTGCTCGCACTTGTCCCTCCACCTTCTTTTTATATTAGTGCTTTTTGAGAAAGAGAATGTCACCCTTTGCTTCACCCAATCTTAATCAATTCCTCTATCTCCGATATTAGTAATTGCTAGAACATTAACTACTTTAACCGTTTAATGCACTAAATTACGTGTTAAGTTGCCATACATTGCTGAAATGTCACTTAAAATGTCTGCAATGGTGCCAATTTGTTAATTAAATGAATTTTGTTCATCTGTATTTCTAAATGTTTTTTTTTTAATTTCAAGTACTGTACTGTAAATTAGCTCCTTTTTTGTGAAAAAATCTTTTGTTTCTCTCTCCAATAATTTGAAGTTTGGTTAAATATCAATACTGTACTGTAGATGTTGTTGAACCTTACACTGCTCATTACTTGGTATTTAAATCTTAAATATGACAGGGATGCACTAAGTGTTTTGAGATATTCTGCATGGAATTATTTTCTTTAGGGCATTTATTTATTATTGCTAATAGATTCTAACAAGTTGTTAAGCTTCTAAGTAATCTATTGGTAAAAACACTAGCACTGTGAATGTAATAAACACTTACATAGTAAAGAATTTTAAGCTTTTTATCTAATGAATTTGTTCGCAAGTTCTTCCACATAGTCGAAGAAAAATTAGTAAGATTATAATTTTCAGGAAGATATACAGTTTTCCTACTTTAGCACATGGAAGCATTCTCTTATCACGATTATATATAAATTAATTAATCACAGTTGTCTTAAAATATTAACGTTATTATTTAAAAAAATATAGATATTGCCTACATATCTAACCACTAATATTAATTTAAAAGTAGGCTTGAACGTAAATTTTGTTGATGAACTTCATTAACAATAACTTTTTGAATATACAAAATAAGTAAATATTGGGATATAAAATTAATTGTATACAGTAAAATCAGTATACCTAATTTGTTGTAATGAGCCGCAATATTTCACCTGAAAGCAAAGCACATAAAAATTATGCATTATTGCAATAGAAATTTTAAATAAAACTGGTATATCTGTAGTCATTGCCTAGACTATTGTATAATTAATCACCCGGTGCAGTCACTTTCACACGGACAACAAAATTCATGCATTGGTAATAAAGAGGCAGTAAGTAAACACAGACGTTGAAAGGCTTGGTGTTAACAATACACCCAGCAGAGGAGTTTACCTGTTGAAAAGGGGAGGTACTTTTTTCTTTCAAGTTTGGATAAACTCATAATGAAGAAACTTAGCATTAATTGTGGGGTGAGTCACATTACCAGCAGGTGAGAGTGCCAAGTGGGAGTCTAAAGAGGTGGTGGTTGCTTTTGTTCTCTTATCAACTTCATGTTTTAATATCACTTCATAAATCTTTTGCATATTTGTGTTGCACACCTGGCCAATTAGTTTTGATGTGTGTGTATGTATATAATATATATATATATATATATATATATATATATATATATATATATATATATATATATATATATATATATATATATATATATATTATATATTATATATATATTATATATATATATATATATATTTATTTATTTATTTATTTATTTTGGTAGCAGTCTTTCTTGTAAACATATGTTGTTAAATATGACTGAAAATGTAAGATTAATAATTCTAACACGAATTTTCTCAATATTTCTTATGTTTCTTTTTACTGGCGATGGTAATTGAAAAATCAATTCTCCAAAATTCATTTTTATTTCTAGTCTGACGCGACGCTTGAACGCGTTTCGTAATAACTTGTTACATTTTCAAAGACTTTAGTTTACACACACACAACTGTAACCTGATAATACTAAATAGAGTTTTACTTATGCTAAACACTTAAACAGCTTGTCTTATATACTCGCATTTTTGTGAGGTGATATGTTGCAACAGTTTTGGATGAGGTGAACAAACTTTTGACCAACACAAGACAAAACACGGAACATTGGGTATTAATTGGATAAATGAGAGGGAAGAATGGAAGTAACTGCAAAGGGCCTATTGGCCCGTACTTCCTCTTGATGCTTCTATATTGGTACGGAGTCTTGAAGTGGGTAGAATATAGTTGTGCATTAATTGGCTGTTGATTGATTGTTGAGTCAACAACAAGTGTTCCGGAGAAATATACGAAAATTCATTTTTGTAAACAGAGTGGTAGACGGTTGGAACAAGTGAGGTGGTGAAGGCCAAAACCGTCAGTAATTTCAAAGCATTATATGACAAAGAGTGCTGGGAAGACGGGACACCACGAGCGTAGCTCTCATCCTTTAACTACACTTAGGTAATTACACACACACACTACCAGTTGATTGACAGTTGAGAGGCGGGACCAAAGAGCCAAAGCTCAACCCCCGCAAGCACAAATAGGTGAGTACACACTCACTCACTCACACTGTCTCTCAATCTCTCACACTCTCTTGCTCATGCACTTTTTTTTCTCTTCCTCCCCCTCCCCTTCTCATGTGTTTTAAGCTGCATGACCCACTTTTGGAAATGATTGTGTTAGTGCTGTACTATTTTTGGTCACCAGTATTTTGTAAAGTATTCAAATTGTTTATTTGTTGTTGATAGATGAAATATCTGTTGCACAGTTTCCATCTCACTGCACAACTTAATCTGCATTTTGTTGTAATAAGTAGCAGTTTCTATTAGATTCTGTTTTAGGTAATTGTGTGTACGGTAACATCTTATCATAGCTTTGTTAATGCAAAGCTTCTGTGTTGTATGGCTTCTTTGTCACTCATTGTATGATGATTGATGTTACTGAGTGCATGGCTTCTTGATGTCACTCATTTCAAGGCTTCTTGATGTCACTCATTTCAAGGCTTTTTATGTCACTCATTCCAAGGCTTCTTGATGTCACTCATTGCATGACTTCTTGATGCCATTCAGTGCACAACTTCTTTCATGTTTTATCACACCGACTAATGTTTGCTTTTGTTTGTGCTTTGCTTTGGCTAAATACCTAATATTGCTTGTGATTAAGTGTTTAGCTCTGATATATGGAGCACTAATAAGTTGGAATCCTGTGTTTTATATATTGTATTTAATTATTTTGATGTTTATCATATTGTTTTGCATCAATATTTTATAGTATTTTTTTTATTTATAATATACATACAATACATATGTATATATTTATAAATAGTGTGTGTAAATGTTTATAAAATATATAATAATAATAATAATAATAATTATATATAATAAATAATAAGGCTTGTTGTGTGTGTCTTGTATATTGTATTTTGATTGTAAAAAGTAATGTAATATAAGTTTTGTAGTAAAGTTTCCTTTGTTGAGTAAAGATGTGTACTGTAATAGTTTGTTGCCATGAAATGTACGCGTCATTCCCCAAATTCTTCATTCAATCCGTCAAATTTATGTAGAGTAGAATTCACCAAATAAATGAAAGCAGCTTGGTATGTATCCTTTCCAGATGCGAGACTTGGAACAGCTTATCCTCCAACGTACCGACAACACATGGAGACGTGAGTACAGTGCCACATTAATGTTTGTTAATTAGCTTTACATAAAATGTAAGTGCTTTACACTGCTCAGATAACTTGTGATAAGATTGACTATTTGTTGTTGATTTGAATATATTTGTTTTATAAGTTTAACCATACCTTTGCTGGGACTTGTGTGTAAATTTTTTTTGTAAAAAATGTCTACATTTAAATCACTGTAGATGTACCAAAAATTTGTATTTAAACAAATTCAAAGTCACTAGTAAATAAAACCAATGTATACATCTGATAGGCAACACCACACAACAAATCACCAGTTGCCAAGTATCAAACATTATAATTAAATCAAATTAGATTCAAGAGATAAAAATATACAATATATATTCTCTAAATATCAGCATTAGCAAGCCTTGATGCTTATCTTCTTCTTCTGAAATAACCAAATAATTTAATTTCTTCATTATGACCTCTAGTCTGTGCAAGAGACAATCTCTGGAGTTCCTCTACTCGTCTATGTAAGTTTAGTTATTGAGCATTGCATGTGGCATTGGAGAACTCTAAGCGGGAACAACTGCTCGTAAATAATGTATATATATGCACTCTTATCATTCTTCATGACTAAACTCTGTAGTTTTATTGCATTTTAAAAACCTTGTTTGTCATATACTTGGCTTGAAAGTGTGTGTGTGTGTATTGTATTTAGAAAATACAAATGCTACATATAGGAAGTAGTGGAGAAAAGTTGTTAGCAAAAGTAATTTTTATATTTGCATGGGAAAGCATGAGCAGCTGGAAATTACTACACTTTTACAATAGCCAAACCAGCGTGAGATGGCCACTTCCATGTAACTTAAGTATTCATTTATATGCTCTTAACGCTTAGAGGTCGATGACGTGCATGGATTGTTTGACAGATAGGCTAATGTGAAATTTATTATTTATGTTGTATATTTTTTGTTCATCTTTAAACAAACTCTTTTTCTCTCATTATAATGGATTTAACAATGCTTTGGAATTACAATTCATTATGGAATTACAATTAATACGAAAAGTCTTCATTACTGTAAAATCACTATTAAAGCAACATTTGTATATTCATGCAGAAACTCCATCAGTGGGTCACATTCCACCTTAAGTCTCATGGCCCCAACTAGTTCGTCTCCTCCGCCCTCCCTGTCCTCAACTTCTAACGGAACTGTCAACTCTCCGCCAAGGTACAGTGCATAACCTGAAGCTAGTGTGCATGAATTCATTAAGAAATTATGGTATAATTGTATTTGCAGCTTTTGGTCATCATGAAGTCAATGTTATTAAGCTGTTATTATGATACTGCAACACTTACATCACTTTAATAAATTGTTCTGAAATATTACAAAAAACTTGAGCGTTACAATGCACAGCACGTAACTACAGACTCATCAGACACAGGTCGTGGCCTATATTATTATAAAGGAACTTTTAGTCCGAGTTATAGTCTAATTGATTCAGTTATCGCTGTCTTTAATGAATATTGATAATACTACACAGTAATTTTTATATGAAGTGAGAATGTGAAAGGAAATTTTGTTTACATGGATTATATTAATCTTCAGGTAGAATAATTTTTGTTTGGTCATATTAAGTTGCACATTGGTATGAAGCAACCAGATTAGAATGTGTTCTATAAAGCTGTAGCTCTTCATTCCAAAATAATGATTTTTAATTATATTTCATGATTAAAATGGACACCTTATGTACCATTTTAAGAGGTCATTACCCCCTCCCTCACCTTCACCATGCTCTTCCCTCATTGCACCAAACACTTTCCTTCCCTCACTAGTCTCATCTTTGCACAAATTCCTCTTTTGTCAAAAATATATCCCAGGTATTAAAACTGGTCAGCCATTTACTTCTCTTCTCCATTCACACTAATTCCAAATAAGGAATTCCTTGCATCCACATTTACTTAACCAGTCTTCTCTCTCACGCACACACCAATAAAACGTTTAGCTGATCTATATAAATTCCTCTCATTCTCTCTTAAACGATCTGCATCATCTGCATGTGGAAAATTTTATACGATCTGATTATTCTTATCATACACTTAGCTTTGATCAAACATTCACCATCACCTTTTACCCGAAACGGTTTGAGTAATTGGGGCTTCATAGATTGTGTAAATCGTGTCCTTACAATTTGTACATTACTCCTTTATTTCTTTGTACACACATTCTTTTGAGTAAAATTGTAATGTATTCAAGCGAGCACAAGAAACACATATTACTAGCCATGCCCTGAAACTGGTCATATTAATGCCCTTGCAGGTAATTCTTAATTTTATGGGCTTCCATATTAGGAATGAGATGACTCAGCATCTCGATTATTTATAAAAATGTACTCAATTCTAGTAAAATGTCGTGTTGCTTCTCATTACAGCAATAGTATTGAAATACTATACAAGAGGTGTATATGAATATCTTGTGTATGTTGGTATATACTGCACTCCACTTGTAATTAGCAAGAAATAGGAGCTTGATGTGCTGGTATTGTTACATCACAGGAATATTATTTTGGTATCTACTGGAAGCTGATTGTTTAGCAGACATTGACAATATGTAATTAAATGGCAATTATAAATCCAAATGTTGTATTGCTCTTCAGAGCAACTATAACTACAGTATTTAAGATTTGATTTTCAGCATGTCAGAATAGAGCTTCGTCAAGTTTTAGATTAAACTGCTCTACTGTATTTGCAAATGCTGTATAATCATCTCCTTTTCTTGAGAATATTTTAAGACAGTCCTGTTAAGGAATTCATAGTTTTTCTAAAGAACTTTATGGGTACAATAGAATAGAGTACATTCCAAAATCAAGAATTTTTATAAGTTAAAGATTGCACATTCTGTATAATAAGAAAGTTTTATGAACATAATACAGAAATGTGTTACATAATTAACTATGGTGTGTGAGTGTGAAATTTAAATTTTTCATTATGATTAAAATTTAAAACATAGAATCTTGTAGAACACGTGATCAGTGGATTTACCACATATAATATTTATTATGTGGCACAAATGGTGCTGTATAGTCTTCCAGGCTTGGTGCCTTCTTTTGGCAATTATTTACATCAAAGATTTTCTCTTTGCCTTAAGCCTTTCTATGAAACTTGGTATTAATAGGAATACAGTAATAACAATGAAAGTATGACGGCATGCAAGTTGTGAGACTGCATTTCCATTAAATATTTTCCCCAAACTCAAAATGAAAGCTAGTGATACAATCTTGGTTGAACTTTGCATAGTTCAGCTTTTCTACGAAGTTAATACACTGTGTTTGGATTATATTACAGCAATATATAAAGAAATAAACCTGGATCAGTTAAATGAAATTGAAGTTTGTATAGACATTCAAAAACACATTTAACCCTAAAATCTTTTTGATAATGTATTCACAAATGATTCTAAAGGATTTGAAATATATCCAGAAATATCCAGTTCAAGTTACTAAAGATTTAATACCTGTCAATAAAAGTTAATATTAATGAGATTAAAGCAATAAATCAATATTAATTTGTGAGAATATCATGAAATGGTGACACACAAAACTGGCACAAAAGGAAAGCTTAGAATTGGATATTTACCATGTAGAATATTTAATTATCTACATTTTTAGTATGCATGGACATGAACTGTATTAAATAAAGCCACATATAACTGTACCTGAAATGGTTTATTACAAATCTTAATTGGCAGACTAAGTGCATTCCCAATATTTGGTTAATTAAATTTTGTTAATATTAATAATTTAAGAGTAGTGTGTGTTTGTGCACAAGTACCTGTCCTCAGACAGCTTGGAGGCATGATGGGAAGCTACTGTGAAGTGCTCAAATGTTTGTGTTCTTCAGTGTGCGTGTAAACGTGTGATAGACTTTTGTAAAGCTGCTATTAACATCAGGTAGTTGGTAATTTTTTTGTTTTGCATGTTCTGCTTTTGCTGATGTACAAGTGTATTGTGAGTGTTCTTTTGATTAGGTTGTAAATGTGGTTTGCTTGGACTTTGTGATGCATACTTTATAACATTGGGAATGAATGTCCTTTTCAGAATGAAAAAAATATCAGTTGTGTTAGTTTTATATTAATTTTTCATTTATTTTAATTTCTTGTTTAAATCAGGCTTTATATAATTTCCAAGCTTTTTATATAATTTTTAACTTTTTTATGTAACTGATTGTAAATGCTTCTTGTGCAAGCTGTTGCAATATGTAAACCAAGGAGCCTTTTAAGATGGTCAAATATCCAGTTCAAGTTACTAAAGATTTAATACTTGTGATGCTTTAGAACTAACAAAATGTGTTTTTGTTTCAGGCGTGTGAGAACGTTGTATGCATGTGTAGGAGAGAATGAGTCAGAGCTTTCTTTTGAACCAAACCAAATATTGAGTAATGGTAAGTCATCCCCATTTTGGTACACAATTATTGATTTACCGTATTTCTGAATCTTGTATTTTTGGTAATAAATACAGTAAAGTGTATTTAATCATATCAGAAAAGATTTGTAAAAAAAACAAATCTTGAATATTTCAGTTCGACCATCTCGAGAACCTGGCTGGCTCGAAGGAACACTCAATGGACGAACTGGTCTGATTCCTGAAAACTACGTAGAAGCTGTAGATGATAAGCCTCCACCTCCACGGCTTATATCCCAGAGAAACACAGATGTGTAACATAGGCATATTATTAATTTAATGGTTATAAAGTGGATATTCACACTAATCATCATGTTGAAAAATGTGGTGTCAAGCACTACCTAAGATGTGCAAATTGTTGACCAGTGATGCGTGTGTGTGTGTACCTCTTCAGACAACCTATCTGGGAGATGTTTCTTTTGTATGTGCTAATACAGTGATGGAATATTGCCTTCAAGTTTGATATGATGATCCATTTTGGCCTTAGGTATATATTGCCAGGATTTTCAGTGCTATTAAAGAAATCTTCAGCCATATCAAATTCTCAGATTCGTGGATATTTTTCAAGTGATATCTGTTTGTAATTGAAGAAACTGCAGTGGAAAAGAAGAAGAATGTGTTTACAGTGTTCAGGTGTGAGGTTACATTACTACTTTTAATCAAAATGAACTTTATTTTAAAAGAGCCACAAATGTTTCCTTGCTAGCAATTCCTGTTATTATGTGGGATTTTCTCCTGGAATCACCGAACTTATTTAACAGGAATTTAAGTGTCACAATTTTAAACTGTACATAAGACAGAACTGTATAAATGGGAAACAAAAGGAAAGTTTGTTGAAGCGAGTGCCAGGTTATTGGCCTCAATACTGGTGCCTCACGAGACTGAATGATGGCCACAGGTATCCTTCAAAAACTTGTACATTTGGATACTACTAAAAAGTTATCATGGTCCAGAATATTTGTTTTATATTATTCATGATTTTTATATGACTTCATTTTAAACATTTTTAAAATATAGAATATCATATATAAAGAAATAAAGAATATATAATTAGTTGTTGGGTTTGTGTTATGGTGATACATAATTTGTATTGCAATATATTCCCAACATTTTTAGTTTGATTTCAAGTAGGAGGATGACTGGCAAACGGGTTCCAATTTACATGACTAGTTGAATTTGAGAATTGCTTTTAAAATATTTTCAAGGCAATGTAGAATGTATGCTATGGTAATTGAGCACTGAATAATGAGGAACTGACCTAGCATATGTGTTTAACAGTGATGACCTAGTCTGAACCAAAATAACTTGGAGAATGTATATTTAGTCTTTTCACGTAACACCCATTTGTACATTTTATTCATTTGTAAATATTGTTTTTATTACTATATGATACATAATTGTAATATTTCATTTTTACTACAATGTTTTAAAACAATATATGATTTCTACTTTTGTTGTAAGTAGCCAAATGATTTTTAAACATGTTAGCCTCGTTTCATTATTATTGTATTGCTACACGAAGCCAGTGCTATAATGTACTGGAAAAGCAGCCCGTCCTCTTGAGTTGCTACAACGGACAAAAAACAATGTACTGTACTAAACGGTGTGAATCTAACCTAATCAACCACACACAGAAAATGTGGCTCTTTGTAAGTCGCTATAATTCATAGTACAGTATGTCGTATTTTGTCCTTTGGGGCCTTCGGCATCAAAATATAATGTATTATTTGAGAGGACAGGTTGAGAAAAGACAGTCATATAGAATAGAATAGGATTTGTTCCCAATATTGTAAATTTCTTGTTTTTTTTTATAGTATCAGTCAAGCATGATTCCTTAAACAAATATATAATATGAATGGAATTGATATATTTTAGGTATTGAGTGTAAAGATAGGTTTTGTATGCAGCTAGTCAAAAGTTAGGCTTTGTGACTAACAAGAAAACATCACAATGCAATGTGTAGTTCATTAATTCAAGTACTGTCATAGATTAAAATGAATATTGCTACTATGATCAACAAAAGATAATCTACCACTAACACTACATGTGTTTACGAACTGAAGGCAATGTGAGAAAATACCGTAATACTGTATAATGAGAGTCCAGTTATTTATGGGATCCAAATTCACGGAAAGATCTTAATAATTCTTGCTTTTATTTTTTATTTTCCTCATCACAAAGTTTGCCGCATAAACTGATTTAAAGCAGATAGTTTTTTCCCCCCAAGATAATGTTGCAGACACATCTTTTATCATTGGTTGTTATGGTAATTGTCATCAATGATTACTTGAACAGTCTTGCTCTGCTGGTACAGTAGTGGGCATCAAGGAGCTTCTTTGATTATAACTTGGGTAGAAAATTTAACCTGAATAAAAATTTGAAGTGAATGCTATCAGTTCTGTACTTTTAAGTAATGCAGTTTGATAATACAAAGGTTTGCCATCGTAAAACATAACATTCCTTTTACAGTAAGCTCTTAATTTTAATACCGGCACATGAAGGATGCTAAAATGACGTTAATTTACTTGGTAATTTCTGTTGTGAAATTTCAATGGTTCATAAAAGGATAAACAATTCAGTCATGTAACATCTGTGCTTATGCAAAGTTTGACATTTATTTTCTGGATATGTTTGTTCCTTTTGTATGTCACCATAAAATACATAAACAAAAAAGTACAAAGATTTTTCAGTCTGATTAGTTACCTGTACCTGAAAAATATTACAATTGGAAACACCAAAGTTAAATATCAAACAAGGAAAATTAAGAGTTTACTGTATGGCATTTAACTGTTCAGATAATTTAACTAAACTAACTAGTGGAGTCCCTTGTAAACGTTAAATGTTTAGGTGCTGCATAGGAAGAACAGCAATTTATATTTTTGTTATAGCTGTTAATTGGATAATGACTAGTCATTCCTATTATTAAGTTTAGTAAAATTAACTCAGTAATGAAGAAGACACTTTGTAATCATAACTTTAGTACACAAACATTGTCTTAAGGTCTAAGCAGGAGGAAACATAAGATTACATTTGGAGTTGTATCAGTTGAAGCAGATTGCTTGTATTGCTCTTCAGCTGGGATTGAGAATTGGCAGATAGTTTTGCTTCATATTTGAATAACTTGCAGTTTAATTAAATTTCGAGTTGTACATTTGATTTCTTAGAGTAATAAAGTAATTTTCAAGGTGAATTCTAAATCAAGTTGATCGTGCTCAACATCATGACTTAGTCAAGTTGGTTCTCTTAAACAGAGCATTCCTCCCCCAGTCTTGTTCCTGGGTATAAATTATTTTACTGTAGTTTTTTCAGTCTTTAATGTATTTTAAACATTTCTGTATGTCATTTTTCAGAAAAGAATGAGGTCCAAGGTGCTTGGTGTTTAAATGTTAATTCTCTGTTCAGCCACTCACAAGACTTACTTACTTGTACAATAATTAAAACTAATTTCATTAGCTGTGCACAATAAAATGCATTGCAAGGTGTTAAGAATAGAGTGGGTTAAGGATGAAGCTCAGCAGGGGACATTCGTGCAACTTCCAAAAAGTAGATTGCTCAAAAACATTTTATGCACACTAGATATTTTTTTTGTATAACTAAATTAACATTTTTAAAATGCACATTCCATAAAGATGTTCCTGCAATGTCTGCCAATCAAAATATTCCTGTACATTTCACAAATACAAAATTAATATATCCTGATTAAGTTTAAATAAAACTTTTTATTATTTGTAAATACTGCACTTTTCTTATGGTGTCTGAGGGTGCATTATGTTAATGCAAATAAATCCTGTGTTGATATGATTTATCATAATTCAACATGTCTAACTCTGAAACAATTAAACATATAAACTATACAGACATACACGAAACTCAATTATGCTTTATAGATTGAACATTATTCTTGCATTAGGAAATCACGTTTATTGAATCATCTTATAATCAATCCATCAGTTATTCAATATTTACATTATTCATTTTTGTTAGCAAATCTTGTAATTGAGTACATTTATAATATATTTTAGGACAGTATTTTCTGCTAGGTAGATGGCAAGCTTCTATGTGAGGAGGTGCTAGTTGGTTCATTTCTTTGATGTAACAGACCAACTCTTAGCATATCAAAGTCAGTCATTTTCTGCTAACTCTCCTCTCTGGAATGCAATGAATGTCATCTAGGTGGAAAGCACAAGCATATATTACTCTCCACATTGGTGGGATCCTTCCTTACATTCATTTTTATATGATTTTGTTTAATATGGAAGGGCAGGGAGGGGGGGAGTGGAAAGTAAGAGTGAGGTGGTATATCACACCATAGTTTATCATATATTTATATCGGCTCTTCTTCACTAAATTTTGTGTGGAGAAGACTCGGGTACTGGTGTATGAATCCTACATTTAGTATTAAATTAAAATGTCAGAGTTTATTGTTTACATGTAAATAAGAGGTTAGAATGAAATAAATCTGATATACATCATGATTTGTATATAATAGTTTTACTGAGTAAGAATGCTTCAAATACATAATGATACTATTTTAAAATAAATGTCTAAAAACGTTGATTGTTTTTATTCATATTTGCCCAAAGATCTCTGTCAGGGCTCTCAGGGTAAGCTCTCAAACCTGGTCACACACACTTCTCTCCCTCTCACTTTCACCTCTCATGCCAAATATGTAAAACTTTTAAGCATAGCTTAAACCAAGATTGAGTCGAAATGCTGCCTGGCTTGATCTTAAAGTCTTTGTAGTGAGCATCCTATCAATCAAGCTGTTACTGCATGAAGCTTGCATATCCACATATGTAATTATTACAACCTAACCGATCTTCAGTTGGCACTGCCTTATTGTGACAGATGAGGTTGGATGCTCTGCTGACCATAGGGCAGTCGAGTGTGGCTTGTAAAGTAAATTGTTACTTGAATTTCTGTCATGCCATTAATAATGCAGTCCTTAACTGGTAGACAGACAGATGGATAGTGAAGTGAAGAGCAGAGGTGCCATAGGCACAATCAGAGAACACTGTATAAACATCAAAGGTCCGCAGTTGTTCAACGTCCTCCCAGCAACTATAAGAAATATTGCCAGAACAACCGTGGACATCTTCAAGAGAAAACTGGACTGTTTTCTAAGAGAAGTTTTGGATCAGCCGACCTGTGGTGGGTATGTGGGCCTGCGGCCCGCTCCAAGCAACAGCCTGGTGGACCAAACTCTTACAAGTTGGGAGTAGAAGAACTCCCAGAACCCTATCAAACAGGTATCAACCAGGATAGATACCACAAATAACAAATTACTGTACATCCATAAAATATTACCCATCTCTGTGCCCTTTCTCCAGCCCTTTCTTCCAAATAGGAAGTGGTAAACATCTCTGGCTACGTGACAGGATTTAAAATTTCCTTTCCCAATGTTCCTTTGAGTCATGTGTCCCTCACAAAAATCAATAGTGAAGATTTGCTCTTTGGCAGCACTCATCTTATGTTTCTCATATTTATAGCCTGACAAATCTGGACCTTTTGAATATTTTGTACCCTAGACAGTGTTATATAGCTATTCAGGCATAATGCTCTTTAGTGATAATTGCTTCTGAGTAAGGAAAGTCAGACTATGGTCACTAAGCTCTTACTCCTCATAGTCACTAAGGTGACTATGAGGAGTAAGAGATAAGTCATTATATATATACTGTATACCCCTTGGAAGGAATATGAGGACAAAGGAAATAATGTGCAACCATTTGCACCATTGGAGACGGAACAGTGACTTTGTAGGAAGTAAGGCCTCTGCTATACCAACCAGTTCAAGTGGATGGGAAGAAAAGTGTGCACCCTAAACCTTGTGTATTGATGTTGATGATGGAAATACTCGTGGTAGCGAGACAAACCACAGCCCAGCAAGGCTTCATATTGTGTCAATAGGCAGTACCTGGATGCCATTCCATGCTGCTGTTCCAAGTGGCAAGTTTTCATGCTTGTAAACTATTTAATAAATGTAACCAAAGCCGTCAAAGATTGAGGAAAGATGTACACATTCGTAAGTACTTGCGTAACTGCTTCGTGAATCTGGCCCGAGGTCTCCATCCCTGGATGCAATAATCAGGTGGGGGCGCACCAGTCTCATACAATTGAACGATTACTTTCTTTTCCTTGAGGGTAATATAGCTGATGTGAGAGGTTTTTAACTTTGAACATAAATTAATGACATTAATTATACGGTTATACTTGTTTAAAACTCTTTAATTAATAGTATCTCTAACCTTATTATAAGATAATGGGACCATAGTCTATAATCTCTTTAGAATAACCAGGTAAATGGGCATTGATCCACACAATTAACCAACAATATATAAATTCTCAACACAAATTACTGGATGGTAATGACAGCAGCCCATCCTTCTAAAAGAACGTCATATTTTGACGTATATACTCTACCTAAGACCAAAAATCGTCGTACTAGAAAAATAGTAGCGGCTCGCGAAATTGACTTACTGCCCCGTTTTCTGCTTTGGGTCCTCTGGTAGATTAGGATAAAGGCACTTTAGTACGACAGTTTTTTGATGTTGGGAAATTTTAAGAGGACAGACTTTTGATGACAGAAGAGTTGAAGAGAGGGAGGAACCCACTTCACCCAGAAGAAAAACTAGGATATTGGTGTAGGTATATAGAGACCCGTACAGACAGCTGAGGCAACACCATGGGAACACTTTCTCATAAAAAAGTTGCAAACTCAATTGAAATTGTGAATGTCATCTGGCTTGATTTAAATTTTTATATTTTTATATATTATGTTTAGGTAATTAAAGGCCTATAAGCAGCGGGAGGGTAATTAAGGCCATTCCCAGATCCCTTCTTGTATAAATACTTACGTTTGCAATTAAGTAAGTGAATAATCTACTAGCTATTAAATGAGACAACTATAATATCCTAGGCTAGAACAGTGACGTTATGTTTTCAAACAAGTGTAAAATTACATATCATTCATAAACTACAATAAATTGCAAACTCGAGATTAGTATATGGGAGATGGTATTAATTAATCACCATGATGTATACTGAGACAACCCATCCTGCCTTCACATATTTTTGTAAATAAAATATACACACGAAAACAGCGAGAGGGTGTGCCGTCAAATATAGAAAACGGGAAATGAGTAAGCGAAACACAGTGAAAAATATTGAGACCCAAACAAAACACTTGAGGACTCTGGTTAGACTTAGACTTAGTGAACTATTGTGACCACCAAGACGGTGTGGACAGTGTTGCTTGGTTGTTGGGGGCGGGAGGTTGTGTCGCGTGTTCCTGCTGCTCACACCATGAGCGTTTCCCGTGTTTGCTCTCGAGTGATGTATGAAACTTAGGAGATCAAAACTTGGTAATGTGGAAGCTAGAGGGAGAGAATGAGCAAGTACTACGGTAATATACACGAGGTAAGACATTAATTTCGTGTTTAATTAAGTAATTACGATTTGGAGTGTACATTATGGTATACCATTGACGGGTACAGGAAGCCTTACTGTAGGCTTAATGAAGACAGGCTGGAGGGCTTGTTAGGCTTATCGACGATAGGTTGGTTGTTTGTTAGGCCTATTGAGCCCCCCCCCTCCTTATGCGGGCGAGGCTGCTCCCATGGTCACCCATCCACTGCTGGCTATGATGCTTCACGCCTGTTTCTCGTCCAAGATTATTGTTATATCTTGTGTTCAAGAAAACTTGAGTACGAAGAGAACATTTCATTTCTTTATTATGCACCCCATACCCATCCCGTGGGCGGTGGTGGAAAGGGTTACAGAGGAACTTAATGGGTTCAGGAACTGAACCCCATAGTTCATATAGCTAAGTAAGCAAGTGGCAACCTTTTGAAGCTAGTTACAAAATACTGAGCTGGTATGTCTATAGCACCTGGAAGGGATTACTTTACCTTGCGATGATTTCGGAACTTAACGTCCCCTCGGCCCGGTCCTCGACCTGGCCTCCTGGTTGCTGGACTGGTCAACCAGGCTGGTGGACGCGGCTGCTCGCAGCCTGACGTATGAATTACAGCCTGGTTGATCAGGTATCCTTTGGAGGTGTTTATCACGTTCTCTCTTAACACTGTGAGGGGTCGGCCAGTTATGTCCCTTATGTGTAGTGGAAGCGTGTTGAACAGTCTCGGGCCTCTGATATTGATAGAGTTCTCTCTCAGAGTACCTATTGCATCTCTGCTCTTTAACAAGGGTATTCTGCACATCCTGCCATGCCTCCTGGTCTGCAAGGATAGGATAGGAGTTGGGGTATGAGGTACGGAGTATAGAATGGTGTCCAACCACAATTGGACCATCGGGGATCGAACGCCGACTTGCAAAAATTAGTGAGGCTCGATATACCGACCAGTCAAAGTGGTTGGGTCTAGAGATCAATAAATAAGTCCCAACTCTGTTAAACACCGTAGAATAAATCTGTCAACTTCGACAATTTACAAGCAGTTTGGAACCCATACTGCAAACCAGATATGACAGGGTTGATCTCGCTGAAAATTATTAAATACCAAACAATTTGGAAGGATATTGATCCAGACCACTTTGTTAAAAAAGTCAGACGTAACATGGTCAAAATGCAACGGCTTCAAGCCACAATGCAGGCCAGAAAGCGTGTGCATTTTACTTGGAGGGTGTACTGCATATTGGGCATATTGAACACTCCAACCCCCTCGCAGTGTTCAATAGATCACAGGATTAACACCTCCAAGGAATACCTGATCAACCAGGCTGTGATTCATACGTCAGGCTGCGAACAGCCGCGTTGACCAGTCCAGCAACGAGGAGGCCTGGTCCAGGACCGGGCCGTGGGAACGCTAAGCCCCGAAATCATCGCAAGGTAACGGTAAGGTAAGGGTTATAAACCCATGGATCACCGACCCGCCGAAGCCGTAAATGCCAAAACAGTTGTAATTAAAGATCCAGCTCAATGAAGTCATCAGGACAAATGCGGAGACGTTTGACACGCCCCCCGGCTTCCTATCCTCGTCGAGGCTACTAGAGGGATAGTGACCCACAGGTAAATTCAGGTATATATTCCTTATACATTATTACCTTAAATGGCTAGTAATAGCAGTTCAAAGGTAATTGTCGTACTGGCTCTTTATAAGTCGTCATATCCCTTATTACGGTTTACGGGAATAGAGAAGTCATTGCTCTCAATACGGTCGACGAACCTCCCGTGCTGCAACTCGTTCCCCTGAAGTCCATCGCATTTTGACGTACTTTACCTAAGGCCAAAAACTAATGTACGAAAAATGGTGGCTGCTCCCGAAACTGACGTGATGTCCCGTTTTGTGTTCGTGGGTCCTGGGGTTGGTTAGATACGGCCACTTTAGTACAACAGTTTAGTGACGTTGGGAACGCTCAAGAGGACGGGCTGCTGATCCCAAAGTACAATCGCAGCCTAGTTGCCAGTTGTGGTTTCCTATCGTCGGCATTTTGCGTCCCGGACTGAATACACATGCGCGCGCTGCCTCTTCAACCACAATGCGTCTCTGATTGACACTTCATTCTCTTGCCTCTAGTTTCCGCCTTCACAACTTATAAATAACATACTATATACAATATTATATTAATATATTTTATCTAATTTTTAATTTTATTTATAATTTTTTATAATAATGGCATAAAACTTAATACTATATTATGTTACAAAGATTGATATGTCAACTTCGGGAAATTCGTAGGCTGCTGTTTTTTCTTAATATTGTCTTAAATGAAGGGAGAAATTTCAAATTTCCTTGTGGTCCAGAAATAATGTTCCGAAATGACTTCCAATAATGTAGGACCAAAGCACCTTGAGCTTGAAATTGTCATATTGGTACATTTGTACCACAGGTGACAGCACTGTGGTACACATGTCAACATTTGGGGTCCACAGGTATTCAACACCCTCCCAGTAAGCATTAGAAATATTGCCGGAACAAAGGTGGATGTATTCAAGAGGCACTTGAACAGGTTCTTGCAAGAAGTACCGGACCAACCAGGCTGTAGTGGATGTTGGCCTACGGGCCGCTTCAATCAACAGCCTGTTGGATCAAGTTATCACAAGTCGAGCCTGGCGTTAGGTCGGGCTCGGGGAGTAGAACAACTCCAGAGAGGTAAGTTCCAGATAAGATATTACCACACAAGCAAGTAGCATATTCACAGTCGGGTTTTTTGTACCAAGTCCTTCACCTGATTTACGTGTTGGGTAGGCGAGAATGACTGGCGTGCTGAGACAATAATAAAACAACTGCTGTTCTTATGGTGAACGGGCCTCGTTCACACACGTACCAATACCCATTGAAGTTTCTGTGTAGGTGATCTGGCAACTGGTTCACACGCTTGTATGCATATGGCACATGCATTGGGTACACTGGAGGATGGCCGTCTTCTTGACTCGCGTTTTAGTGAATTTGTATCCATTCTATACTATGGTGACCAAAACTAAACTGCATAAATGGGGCCTAACAAGAGCAAGATATAGCTGAAGAACACCAGGGGTCTTATTACTAACGCTTTGATAAATAAATACCAGTGTCCAGTTTGCCTTATACGAACATTTGTGCATCGATTTTTAGGTTTTAAATTACTTTATTTATTTATAGTAACCTGATACAGACCCTGTAACCCCCACGTCTCTGCTCCCTCTATTGGGGTACTATTTACCACACCCAGGGAGCTCTTCCAAGTCATGCCTCAAGTACGGTCGCCACCACTTGACCTTGGACGCAAGGGGGGAGAGAAGGCCCAGCCCACACTGCTTGAACTCGATCCTGCAATGCAAGACTTCCCCTCACCAGGCCTGCCCACCTGACACGTGCCAAGTTTTGCCTGACCTCCGTCCGTAACCTCAATTCTCACCTTCGCCAGCTGGGTAATACTCTGTTTCCCCAGCAACGCTTTTATTTCAAATGTACCACCGCGTTGATTGATTGATTGATGAAGATTAAGCCACCCAAGAGGTGGCACGGGCATGAATAACCCGTAAGGGGCGACTCCTACAGCGTAGATCCACAGTCCTCCAGACTCCGCCACTGCCTGTCTTTACCAGGCAGTAGATAACATATACCCGCTGCCCTACAGCCTAATCTACTGCTATAATATCTAGAAACACTCTAGCAAGTGCCCACATATATCACTAGGTCTATCTCGCCTAATACCAAGGGCAAATGGGAAGGGAATAATGATGTACCTTAACATGTCCAGCCCTCAGACGTGTCAGGCTGCGTTACTCCACTGAATGAGGCTCCTGGACCTCTTAACTCGAGAGCTCAACCAACACACGTCCACTCTCAACGAAGCGCCGTGAGTCTCTGAGGGCTCAGGGCTCCAGGGTTGCCAGATCCAAATTGCTAAAAGTAGCGAGCTGACGGTCAAAAAGTAGCGAATTTGCAAGTAGAGTAGCCCAATTTATTGTTTAGTCAAATCGAATCAAATCAAATGTTTATTCAGGTAAAAGTACATACATACAAAATGAGTTACAAACATAATGTTAGATTTCTAGATAGCGACAGTACATACAGACAGACGACATTCAAATTTAGTAAGTTTATCTTCCTTCTTTGATAGAACAGACTTGATGCTTATCTGCTGATGACTTACCTCCGATATATTTTGTCTGTGTTTTAATGTTTCACTGTGTTTCTTTAAACCACTTCTATGAGCTCTTATCTCAGTTCTACAAGCTTTACAATATGCCTTGTTTCCATCTTCTTTCACTTCAGCCAACCTCTTTCCAAACACGGGATCCTTAGGCCAGGACATCTGAAACGCTTTCTAGTATTTAGACCACTTCCCCATTTTTCACTACTTTATCTTAACACTTAAGCAAAAGTAACAGCGGTAACTTCTTTTCTATGCGGTAACTTGTGTCGAACTATCCTTCTGGAGGTCAGAGCCATGTAACAAACTAGGCTGTTGTAAGAATTATCCAGAGTGGTTTATCGACAAAAGAGAATGGGAAGCTGAGCCGCATGGTGACCTGACCCCAGGGGAATTCGCGGTGGAAATAACCAACGCTTTGTTCATAGCTGCGTATAATGAACCATCCTATAGTATTCAGTAAATTAGAGAAAATTAGCCTTTATTCATTTTTATTAAAATTGTATTGTATAATAGTACTGGATACAATATCAAGAGTATTCTAATTATTGAGTTAAGTCACCATCAGTGACGTCACGAATCGGATCTAACTTTTAAGGCGGAGTGACCGGCGGTCATAGGTCAGCAGGGTTGACATGTCTAATATTTCTCAAAGTTTTAATAACCATTTTTGTGATCGGGAACAGCTCTGCCGTTAGATGTTTGTAATTTAATTCAGTAAAATAATTCAACCAGTCTGGATCAATTCAGTACAAACAGAGTTTAATTGTTATAACTTAACCTTGCTAAAGTAACTGGGTAAGCGATGCGGAACAATACAATGT